ACTTTAAAAAAAAAAAAAAAAAAGAATTAGAAAGGTAACTTCCATCAATATTAGAAAGAACAATAACAGTGAGCATGAAACCTATTTTCCTAAAAGAATTGTTTTGAGAGAAAGATTTTATAAATTTCAACCGACTGATTGTTCGGTCAGTGACTGCGGAATGTTTCCTTATACGGAAACAGATAATATTTCCATTACAATTCTCATGTACATTAATTTTATTCGACTATCAGTTATGTGCCATGCGTGATACACGTTTAGGCAATCGTGTATCTTTCGATACATGACTGACGAGGCAGATTTTTTCTGCGGTAGACCAGTTGCCATCCAAGGCTATAGAACCCAGTCTGTCCTGATATTTACCCATTTCTGTCCATTCTGTTAATAACTTAGTATGTACCTGAGTAGTTTGAACATAAGCGTTTTTATGCTGTCATTTCTTATAAATATATATGTGCAAGTAAAATGGTCATTTGGTAGGTATATCTTTTTGTTTGCTTTCCGTGTACGTGTAAAGGTTAATGATGACATTCTGTGTTTCAATTCCTGTACAAACGTTGTTGTAGGTAAGATGTTCGTGTTGTCATCACAGTATTGACCAGGTAGAGTCAATGATGTACCGAAAACCATTTCAGCTGGTATTCTTCCTTTACAAGTGTTTCTATTTGTAGGAATCCTTCTTGGTTTTTCGTTGAATGTCAAAATTCGGAATGTCGGGATTCGATATATTAACAAAATATTGTTGCGGGACTACACATAACTCAGCCGTTTAGAATAATCCCACGATTTTCATTGAAAGAATAAAATCCAGTAGAAAAAACAATCAACAAATAAACATTGATTTAATATAACGACAAGAATACAAGAAGTTGGTTATAGATGAGAAAGTAATGTATTTTTGTTTTGGTTAATAAAGTTCTGGAATAGAATATAAATTGTATTTGTGTACGTATGTGAGAAATAAAGAAATGTTATTATGTGTGTTTGTGTGTGCGTCGTTAATAGTAAAGGGGATATTAGAGTTATAATTTCGTTCTTACTGTGAACTGTGGTACCATAATCTGAAGCGGTCTCTTTGTAGTTCGACAGTGCTGTTGCTTTTTGCGTGTAGACATGCATGAGGTCGTGAAGATCAGCAGCTAGAATGACATCTGTGCGTACCCCATTTGGGGCCGGATTTCGTGAGTTTTATACACTTTTTCGTAAGAACATCGACTCCATAATTATATTATTCATTTCTTCCTAATTGTTCTTAAAAAGCCACGTGATATGTCTTCTACTACGTCCGCACGATATTTTGGTAGTATCTACCTAAATCATAATGACTACTAAAACAACTTTCCTGATTTATATTCTATATTTTTATCGGTGTGTTTTATAAGCACTTTATTGTTGAGTGTTATTGGTTTACTAGCAGCATGACCCGGCGTTGCCCGTGCTTGCTTCAAAAATCGTACGACTCGTACAGCAATCGCTATCACACGACTTAAAATATTTTTGCCCTTCCTTGCCTTTAAAAGAGTGCCCTTTGCCGTGCTGATGTTGCTACATGCCTTACTTCTTGCCTATCTCACACTGCGAATTTTTTCTAAGCTCTATACTAAACATTAAATCTGTTACGAAAAAAGAACTAAACAAAATGAACACAAAACGATCAGCTTTAAAAAGGGACTCGTAACAAGAAAAACCGAATGAAAAAAGAATGTTAACAACAAATACTTTTTCACACCCAACCCAGTTCTGCGGAATCAGAATCAACGTTGAGTTTAAGCAAGCGAATGAGCCAATTGGAGTAAAGTGCCATGCAGATTTAAATTTTTCCCACTTGTGACGAATGCAGCTATCGATTTTTTTGCATGCTAGCACATTCGTGTCAGTCAGCTGTTGGCTCTCATGCTGACCAATAGAATCTTCCTGCCGATTCGTGGCAGCCAGCTATAGGCTCTCACTCTGGCCAGTAAAAAATGACCGCAAACTACATGAAAACTGCCGTAGAAGCATTAAAAAATCGATTATTTCCACTATCGATGGGAGTTGGGAAATGCAAAGTCAGTCTTGGCCTTCCCTAACTTGGAGCATGTGCATGTAAATTTTGGTGCAAATCCATCAAAAATTGCGGCCGTGCATTCGTTACGCACACACACACACACACACATCCTGCCTTATATATATATATATATATATATATATATATATATATATATATATATATATTGTATTGAGCACTTTTTTATTATTTTAGCTGTTGGTAGGGAGAGCTTTACCTTTGATTGTGGTAGATGCTATTTTCAGTACCCTAATTATTTCATATTCAATGTTTTGGGGTTTTTTTTTTTTTAAGCATTTCACCCCAAGCAAGTCAGAAGTGCCATTATCACACAGGGGGTTATGGAGAGTGAAAATGACAGAAAAGAGTGGGTGTAGGGGGGATTGAAGAAAGGAAAAAAGAACAGGTATCAACGCAACAAAACATGGTGACTGATGTTGCATTTAGGTTTTTGATGATTGTAGTTATCAGGGAAGCAAGTGAGAGGAATGGAGTTCCAATATGGAGAAGTGCAGGGAAAGAAACTGTTAGAAGGGCGGTTACATTTAACTATTTCAACAGTAAAAAGTTGGGACCTAGATGCCAATCTAGTAGTACACTTAAATTCATGTAGTCAGGGCACCAGGGTAAAAAAATGCTCATTATTGCAGTAGCCATGAAAATATTTGTAGAAAAGACAGAGGGAAGCCACATCACGTTTGTGAAAAAAAGTCAAGAAGCTAATTCAGTACTGATTACATTACAGATCCTACTTTAGATTTTTTTTGAGAATATTGCAGTAAGGGAAGGTAGGGGGAAATTTTATGGATAAAACTTTAACTGCGCAACCAGTAATAAAAAATCACAGAAATGCAATCTATGTTTTTATTCATTTAAACATCATCATCATTTAATAGTAATAAAAAAAAAAATAATATATTTAAAGTAATAATAATAGTAATAAAAGTAATAGATAGATACACACATATACAATACACACACATACACACACACATATATACATATATATAAACTTACATATTTACAAACCTAATATATATTTTTCAGTGTTTGTTGCAAAATAAATGTCTATTTTTAAGACTATATAAACTTATTTTTATGATGACATTTAAGTATAATTTCATTAGTCTGGTTCAATAACTGGCTTGTATTTTTGTACTTAATTATTTTAATTTTTCTTCCAGGATAGTTTGCATCTGTTTATATATATATATATATATATATATATATATATATATATATATATATATATATAATTAAGATCAAATATAGATAGGAATGCAAGAGAATGATAGGATAAGGGACAAATAGGAAATCTTTATAAATCTGACATGCTTTGCTTTTATTAACACTTGAGATGTGGAGGTTTATTTTCCACTTGGGTCGGCCAGGTGAAGGTGAGATGGGGAGCACGTCGCTCTAGTATTTACTCGTTCCCCCACTAGAACGAGATGTGACACAAGGTTGGTTTAATGTGGGGACCCGAGTGCGTACACTCGGGCAGGAACAAAAATTCCCCTCAGCCTTCGCAACCGTCGGTTGCGCTGGCCTCGGTGCGAGCACCGATCCCTCCCTCTGGTGCAATGGGAGGGCGCGGCCTCGGGCAGCTGTTCCCCAGGGCCGGGCACATCTTCAGTATTATTTTCTCAGTTGCCCCTCCGTCCTTAGAGAAAGAAGCCCCTGAGCACACTCTGTCCAAGGACAGAGACGCACCTGAGAGATGATAAATAAAGCGCGTACACTCCCTCCAAGGAGGGTGTGTACGCGCTTTATTTATGGAGGGGGAGCACGTCGCTCTACCTCGGGGCCAAGAAATCGGCTGTATTTATGTCGGCTGCGGTAGCATCGTAGCCGATTGGCAATATATTTTGGTTGATGACTAAAAATTAACTTCCGCATTTTGACTGTACATATGGGTTTCATTTGGACACCATATGTATTTAAAGTAGTTTCCGGTTATTATTGTTAGTTAGGAGGACTTGTGTATGTTTATGTTTCATTTGTTTTACTCTTTGTGTATCGTTCTCTGAAAAAAAATGCTGAGTCACCGGAAGTTAACGGCATTCGGACGTTTGAGTAGCCGGCAGTAACTTCCGGCCGGGTGCGATACTCTTACCCGTGCTTTCAAATTGATTTCGTGCAAAAACAATTGTGTTTTTCCAATTTTGGGCGCTGTCAGAACCACTGCCGGGTAGTTTTACGTAATCCTGTGAAGTTTGCTTGAAATCGGTTGAAAAATGTAGGAAATACGATCCCATATATAAACGAACAGACACACACACACAATCTGCGTTTTATAATAAGTAAGATTTAATATTTTAGTGGACACGAGTAGATTCGTGGAGTATATCTGCGATATCTTGTGTCGTGTATTTTTAATCAACGATACGATTTGGTCATCATAAATGAATGTAGGCCAGCCAGAACATTCCCAGTTTTCCAGGTCAAAACTTTCTAGTGAAACACTTATGAACACCACTCTTAGTTATAGAACGATCTTCATAGACAGCACGTAGCTTTGTTTTTATTTATTCATTTTTGCGGGTTTTTTTTTTTTTTTTTCCTTTCTGGGAATATAAAAACTTCAAACGACGAAAATTCATTTATTTTAATTCCAAATTTTTCACTTTTAATGTAAAAACATTTAAAATTCACAATCGATACACGAATCGTATAAAAATATACATTGAAATGTCATCTTTCAGAATATGTCTGTATGTCATAAATTTCAGTCACGTGTGAAACGAAATCTCGTGTTCAAGCGCCACTTATTTAAAAAAGCATTACGAATTTTTGCTCCAACCGAATATTTCTAATAAAATAGATATAACCTAAGGTTGGTATAAATGCTACTTTTATCATATAAATAACAGTATACCCTTAACATTTTGCCAACCTTGGTTAGTTAATAATAATACCAATCTTATTGCGAAAACTTTGACGTTCATAGACTTACGGACATATCACGCTGAAACACCCGTTCCTGTACCATTACCGAAGTTTAAGCAACGTCGAGCATGGTCAGTACCTAGACGGGTGACCGCTTGGGAATACCAGGTGCTGTAAGATTGGATGTGCGGGTGGTTTAATGGTTAACGGCTCGGAATTATTAATCAGAGCCGAGTTCCAATTCCCACTGGGCTCGTTATATTCACTTACGCGCAAATACACTTGGGAAAGCTATGAATCCACATCTCCCTCCCCCAGCTATGGGTTTATTAGTAGGACTTGTTTCACTAAACCATTATTATCTAAAAAAGAAATCTTACACTCTAAAAATATTTTCTGGCTTTAAATAACCTGCAATGGCCTAAGCCGTAGAAAATGAACTGATCAAATCTAACATAGTGTATTGTATGACGGAAAATGTAACACCGAAATCCCAAGTCGTAGCAAGAGATACCTTAAGAATAAAATAAAAACATTAAGAAACGGGAAATTTTGTTAGAAACAAAGAAAAGACTATAAAAATACTTTATAATATCAATCCTCCTCAGTGAATGTTAGACAATTTTCTCACAGATGAGTAGACTTGACGCAACAGATGTCGTTCTACAGAAGGATGCTGAGAATACCATGGATGGAGCATATAATTAACGAGAAAGTATTAAGGGAAATGGACACAAAAAGGACAAATATACATAAAAACCAGAAAGAGTTGAAATCGCTGAGTTACATAATGAGAAAAGTAGGCCTGGAAAATTTAACACTCACAGGACATTGAAGATAGAGGAAATAACTAACTTACTTAACGAGTACTGTATTATAAATGGATGGCATAACACAAGTGACACTAACAGGGCTGAGAGGGATAGTTAAAGTAAAGACAAACATTGCTAAGAGCTACGAAGGATGGAAAGTTGTGGAGAGCTATGACCGCTCACGTCCTGAAGGTGTGTGCATTTGCAGAAGTATCCCAGACAACATCAAGAACTCATGTTCTGAGAATTTAATATGCGATATTTACTATGTTTTTTTTTTTGTTTCCTTCTATGAAAATAAAACTAAACTAAATATAGGACATAATAATTGTTTATGGATATGTTTGATAATAATCAGTCAGTTATATGTACCATGCACAATACACGCTTAGGCAATCATGTATCTTTCGATACATGACTGACGAGGCAGATTTTTTTCCCCGCAGTAAGTTGCCATTTCTTTCTGCGGTAGACTAGTTGCCATCCATGGCTATAGAACCCGATCTGGGGAAGAAGAAGAGGATTCATACCTCTCCATAAGCACGTAAAGTGAATGTAAATGGATCCGATTCCTCAATCCGATCCGCTATCCATTACTCCACAGATCCGAGTTCGAATTCCAGTCGAATCTATTACATTCACTTATGCTAATACTCGTGGGAAAGGTATGAATCCTCTTCTTCTCCCCCCAGCTATGGGTAAATAGCAGGACAGATCGGGTTCTATAGCCTTGGATGGCAACTGGTCTACTGCAGAAAGAAATGGCAACCTACTGCGGGAAAAATCTGCCTCGTCAGTCATGTATCGAAAGATACATGATCGCCTAATTAAGCGTGTATCACGCATGGCACATAACTGATTGATAATGTGCGATCATCACACATCATATCAAACGCATCCAACAACAAGGGCCTAAAAACAAATACACTGTACGCTGTACGGTAAATGTATATACATTTTAGCACTCGACCTATCACAGTCTGTTATTAATTTCAAAACCTTTTCCATTTTTTGGTGGGGCGTAGGTGGGGGATTATGGGGGTCGGATATTTACAAGGAAAGACATTTAGTTTTCGGGAAGGCTCCGACAAAAAAATTAATAAACCGAAAAAAAAGTACAGTCACATGGGTTTTTTTTTTTTCACTTTTCACATTAATGACCATTAGCAAAAAACAAAAACGAAAAAAAAACACAAAAAAACAGACAAACCGAAAAAAAAGAAAAAATTAAAGTTATTTGAAATCCTCATTAAAAAAAAAGAAAGCGAAAGAAAATTAAGAGATATTTTTTTGAGTTCATGCTGGCATACAATATATGATTTCCTTATTTAAATAGCATTTTTATTTTAATGAATTTATTTATGTATTAATTGATGAGTTCGTAAAAAAAAAGAAAAGAAAGACGAAAAAAAGCCATATGTTCGAATAGTGTGGATTTGTCACGATTTGTGTGACCTAAGGTTATTAATGTTATTGTTAATGTTAGCCATCACAATAGTCGCCCTTGTTATGTTATATTTATACTTTAATAATGATATACAAAAATTTTAAGTGATAAATAAACTGAAACGATTGAAACAAATAGTTCTGCTAAACTGGTTCATGTAGAGTGGTCCTAAATTTCAATGTTTAAAAATGTACCCACCCACTTCAGCATGAATCGGAACATCGAGGCTGGGCTAGGATATTTAAGTAACTGACACTTATACGCCACCACAGTCAACTGAACGTGGTGGCAAATTTCAGAGAAGAGAGCACGGGGCTGTCAGCACGACAGAGAAAATATCTAACAACACTTCGTGTCCCTGCTAAAATTATCCTGGCTTTTCTACTTTAACAGTGAAAGTGGCTGCATCAAGGAAACGAGCCCAGTACCATACGGCAAAAACTCGGGTATATGTGTATGCATCCCACTCTGGAATTTTCATTTAAATTTTAATTTTTCTTGTAAATATTTTCATCATCGTCGTCTCAACTTTTACTTAGACATCAAAAAAACAGCTCAACTTTAAAAACTGACCAGGATTATTTAAAAAAAAAATAATATAATATATATATTCCTCCTATGTTAATTATTTTTAGTAAGTATGTTTTTAAAGTTACTATTCATATTTCCTTTCTTTTATTCTGTTTTTCAATCAATTTCTGTGCTTGCCCAATTTTTTTTTTTGTTAGCCAACTTTAAGGATTGTAAACTGTAAGGATAGGCCTGGTGCCCTATTATTAGTAAGTAAGTGAATTTTATTGCTCTTTTAAATTAAACAAAAAATACAATTTTACAAGTATTTTGCTCTGTTGTTGGATATTTGTATAAAAATCCATATTGTAAAAAAAGTAAATTATTATCTTCAGTTGTATTTAAATTTGTCTAATTACGGAATAAATAGCAGCCAGGTTGCTGTTTTTTTTTTGTTTTTTTTTTTTTTGTTATGATTGTCATGGACACTGGTTACAAGCGCAACAAATTTAATTCAAGACATTTTTTTTTAATTGTATTAACTTGAAACTTCTTTTGTCTAAAAAATGAAGATCGAGATTTCTGGTTCATAAACTGAAAACAAGAAAACTTTAGGACCTATGTACTGTGTACACAACCTCGAAAATATATCAACAAGTTAGAACTAAGAAGAGGCCCCAATTTTCTGTTTTTTTTTTTTTTTTTTTTAACACTTTGCTCTTTTTTAAACCAAAATCCTTTTTTCCGAAAAAAAAAAAAAAAAATGGCAACTAAATTCAATTTCTAATTTCTTTTCTAAATAAAATTTCAATAATTTCGTTACAGTCCACTAAAATTATTATTAATTCAAATTTCAAACTAAATATGCATATATCAGAATTAATGAAGAAAGATGCTTGGTTCTGAGTGAATAAAATAAAATGTTTCTTTACACGTTAAAAATGTAAACAAGGCAACAATAAGGACAGTCCAAAATGAATTTTCATTCGGTTATTTTTTTTTTTTTTAGATAATCCTCTGTGGCATGATTAGTGAGTGAGTAAGTGTAATAAATCAGTTGCGGGAATAGAACATTAGTTAATTGTACTGGAATGAATGCATATTGCATAAGTGATTTAGGGTAGTGTAATGAATGTTAAGTGTTATGGCTCATCATGGTGTTAAAAATCAAAACACCTGCTTAATTAAATGTTTGTTGCATTCTCTTTCTTCTGTCTTCATAAAAACTGTCTGTAACAAAATATTTTTCAAAAGGGTAGGGCTTCGCTTATTTGTACATAACGTACAAACAAGTCCCTACCCTTTTGAAAAATATTTTTCTGTCAAGTCATCGAATTCTGATTCGATAACTATTTCTTTTTCCAATCTAAAATTCAGTTAGAATCAATATGATCATCAAGCAAGTCTCCCAAACATTTTTTTATGGCTTCGACATTTGTGTTAGGTTGTATGTATCTTCATGAGGTGTTTCTACGTACTGGTGGTCTTCTGTCGTAATGAACTTTTTTAAATGCAGTTGAGTTGAGTAATGTAATAATTGGACTGCGTTTTTCTATGCACCTTCTAACCCTGGGACATTTCAACGAAAAGGCGAGTTGTGTACTTGATTTTAGTTAATCAAAAGCTGAGTGAAACCCCAAATGTTTTAGCAAAATGTTTTAAAACAATTTAACAATGATTTTTTAAAAATTTAACATTCTTTCTTGTAAGAAGCAGGATTTCCTTTTTATTAGTTTTTTGTTTTTGTAGTAAAGAAAATCTAAAAAGTTATTGTTGAATAAATGTCATACTTCAAAAAAAAAAAAAAACTGACAACTATTCACTGTTTTTTAGTGTAATTTATTTTCAATGGAATTTTATTTAATTTTACAGTCTCTGTAAAGTAAACTTTATCGATTAATTCATAAAATTGAATATCAATAATGGAAATAGTATTTCCGAGTAAAATTTCCGATTTATAGATAATGCTCGACTTTGTCTCACGCAGAGGAAAAAAATGTAATGAATGATTCAACTTTTCATACGTTTTAAAAGCTGAACCTTTTTGGTGTCAACGGTATGGCTTTCCTCGGCTTCTGAGGCAAAAACGTTAGTGAATTTAGGCACATTTTACCCCAAGAAATCGATGGCTTTATTGACTAACTTAAAGTTGGATTAGTAGGGATATATTTTTTTAAGGAGGAAGTGTGAACCGTTCCATCATCAGCATAAAAAAAAGAACTCCGGAAGACATTCGTCCTTGAACCCAATGTGTCTGTATCACTCAACAAAACTAAAAGGATTACCGCAACGGAATTCGCTCTATTGTTGTGTATAAAAAAATTAAATGAATAAAAATAAAATAGAGCAGAATAAAGACTTGGAAGAATCGACAATGAAAAATCTCGATTATTTCCCAAAAGCCAAAATATTTACATTATTTACATGAAAGCTATTGTCCTCATCTTTGTTGTTGTTATCACGTTTCGGCCTTTGTGGCTTCCGCTCTTCATCAGGTGTTTGTCAATCTGGGTAACCTTCATGGAATTTCGAACTATAATTGTAATTTCAATCTCTGGGCCGAGCAGTGTTTGCGTGGAAACAGGGCTAGAAATAACTGAAAATAAGAACTTGATGATAAATCCCTACATGGGCAGTGGAACAAAAACAAGTCCGAAATTCGATTCAAAAGTTACCTGGATCCATAAACAGCTGATGATGGCTAGATGGCACTATTGTGAAAATGTTGTGATAACAACAAAGATGAAATTTGAAGTGTAAATAATGATAACCCCACATTTCAGAAATCCCCCCCAAATAATTTTTCATCATTGAACAAGAAGAATGTTCAATCATATGAAAATAGTTAATAAAATTTCATTTTAAAAGCCTAATTACATCACGGAATTGGTACTTTGTTCATTTTCCTTAAAAATATATTCAATGTAAATTAGGTAATGAATATTTGTTAGAAAGTAATTAAAAATAAAATTTTCTTCAATTTTTAGGTTTAGGAATCTTTGAATTTAAGCGTTTCTTTAATTAAGAAACTTCTAAATTTCATTATTTTAATTTTTAAAATCTCAATCGAGATCATGAACTAAGAATTTAGAAATACATGTAGTGACTTTGGTTCCGTAATAATAAAAATATATGTAAAAATGAATTCCTAACTAATTTAAAACTTTTTCATTTACCATTTAAAATAAATTTTGTTTTTGTTTCCTTCTGATAGAAAACCCAAGGCAAAAATGCGTAAATCAGTGACAGCTGTGGAAGTGGTTGATGTTGAAAAACGTCGATTACCAAGCAAACACTACGTAAGTAAAAATAAAAACTTTTGTTTATTTCCATTGTTTCTGATCTTTTCATGTCTTGAGTTTAGAAATCAAAATTTTAAATTTTATTGAGTGATTTGTTTTTAACGGTAACCTTTTTCGGCTTATTTAAAGCCAGAAAATATTTTTAGATTGCAATATTTTTTTGGAGATAATAATAATTTACTGATACAAGTCCTTAACCCATAGTTGGGAGGAGAAGTGGTGGATCATATTTTTTCCAAGCTTTACATTTTTAGTCCATCCATGAAACGTTGCATCAAGTATAGTTAATTAGATTTAGTAAATATATTGTGAAAAATACATTTTCACGAGCAACACTTTGTCAACAACATGTTCAAAGGTCAAACAACTGTTTCAGTTTAACGAACCCTACTTTTCATTTACAAAATGAAGCGGGTAAAGAAACTCTTTCCCTGAACAAAAAATTACATGTCACGTGACTAAAGAAATAGTTTGCAAGTTTGAGATTTTTTGATTTTTTTTTATCTTTTCTGAAATTTAGCTGTTTTATCTTTTTCTTTCCCAGAAAATAAAAACTATGTTGTTAATTTCTTTTAATAAATTACCCTTAAAATATGGATTACAATTACCAAAAAAAATCTAGAAGCTTGTTTTCTTTGAAGAAGACAAAAAACTAAGCTTATGAATAGAATACTTATGAAACTTTGAATAAACAAATTTTAATTTCTTACACTATTATCAAAAAAAAAAAAAAGGAATAAAAAAACAAAAAAGTGAAAAATAAGAAATAGTTAAAGTGAGAATTCATTAATTATTTTTTGACAATTACATTAACTATCGATGTTGAAATATTTCATTGCCTCCAACAAAGTCCTTTTAATTATTTTTATAGGAAAATTTGATAGTTATTGAATTAATCCTAAATTTACCTCTTTTTTTCTTTTTTTTTTTTTTTTTTTCTTTGGAGTTAGTCGTGGGACGTAACTCAGAATTTTATTTCAGATTAAAATTTAAAATTTGCAAAATATATTATAAATAAAAAAAATAAAAAACTATTTTAAAAGGGTCATTCAAAAATGGCATTGAACTTTATATTTATTCATTCTTCAAACTCAAACTGTCAAACACATCTTGAAGCTATATCAAATTTATCAGCAATAGCGTAGATCTAAACATTTTAGAATTATACTATAAAAATACAAGACAATTTTTCACAAGCAAAAAATGTTTTCCTGTGAAAACGGTATATAGGCAATTTTGTTGAAATTAAGTATTGGCAACTCTCTACAAAAATATTTTTTTTTAGTTTTCTTCAATTTTTTTTTTATTTTTTTTACACTTATTTTTTTTTCTTTTTTTTTCGTAATGATTTAAGATATTCAGAGATTTATTTTAGCTTTACAAAAGTGTCTAGGAACATCAAAAATTGGCTAGGTGGCGAGTTTTGGCAAATATTGTTTCTTTTCTTATTTTGTCTTTTTCGTTTTTTCTTTCACAAAGGGTGCATGATATATCCGAGGTACCCTTGTTTTATTCTTCTTTTCTGTTATGAAAAAAAAAAAAAAATTAATTTACATTTGTTTATTTTTTTGTAATTATTGAAAAGAAAAGCATATTGTCCATTTGATACTTTTTTAAAACATGTGATCCCATATGGAATATAATACTGACACATGTGCTGAGCTGACGTCATTTTAAAAATAAAATAATGATTGAAAAGTTTTTTTTTATTGTAATTGTAAAAATAAACAAATTAATTTATCATAAATGAATTTTTAATGATTTATTTATTTAACAAAATGAAATTAGCAGATCCCATAGCTAGTGTTAGTTAGCAACTTTAAATCCTGGAATAAACAATAGAAGGAAATATTTGAATATCGACGTCCTTTCATTTTTAAGCTACTTTCTTTTCATCTTCTGCTCTTCACTATCTCTTGCTGCTGAATTAATAAGTACAGGACTGTAAGGTAGAGATGCCATGTGAAATGATCATAATTTATTTAATGCTCTCTTTAATACAGAATCTCTTTTGTGTGGATGAGCAAACTAAACATGTCTACAGTTACCATGTTTGAACCTCTTCTTAATTGCTGGTGTTCCCAGGTCCACCCTAAACCGGAGTGGTAGCACCAGTTAGGGTCCCAGTTATGGGAAAATAGTTCCCCCCCCCCCAGAAAAAAACTGGGGTCAAAACGTGTAAAAATAGGTTTTAAATACAGTGTAACCCGGATATAAGAGAAACTCGGATATAAGAGAGATTTTCTCTGGTCCCAAATTAGAGCCTGTGTTAATGTATATAAATTAGACCCAATCCGGATATAAGAGAAACCCGGATATAAGAGAGATTTTCTCTGGTCCCAAATTAGAGCCTGTGTTAATGTATATAAATTAGACCCAATCCGGATATAAGAGAAACCCGGATATAAGAGAGATTTTCTCTGGTCCCAAATTAGAGCCTGTGTTAATGTATATAAATTAGACCCAATCCGGATATAAGAGAAACCCGGATATAAGAGACTTCTTCTCCGGTCCCGACAACTCTCTTACATCCGGGTTACACTGTACCAGTAAAACGTTTTTGTAAACAATTATTACCAGCAATACATTTTTGGAAAAAATATTACCAAAAACACTTTAAAAAAAAAATATTACCCACAATAAAAATCGGCATTAAGTAACGAACCCATTATGGTTAAAACAAACCAAACCATGTTTGAAAATCTAACAATTGCTACATACATCAGATATTTGACACAAACAAAACAACAACCAGTTGAAACATTTTGACTAAAAGCAAAAATAGCCTCATTTTTTTTTTTGTTTATTGCTCTTCTACGTAATTTAATTAGGCAGCAGCATAGTTGGTTTATCTACCTAGTATAAATGAATAGTTAAATAAATTATCATCTATCTGCATATTTTTTTCACAAATTTTAAAGTATTGCCAAACTATATAGAAAAATAAGAGGCATTCAAATGTAGTTTAGTAGAATAAAGAAAATTAAACCTACAAGATGTTTAAAACAGTTTAATCAACGATGGTTTATCATTAAAATAATGAGATAATTAAAATAAAAAATAAAAGCTGAGATATCTTTTTTTTTTTTTTTTTTTTTTTTTTTAATAGTATGATTCAGAAATCTTGACTTATAAATAGATAAATGATAATTGACAGAAATGGCAACTGAATATTTATGTGACTTTTCTTTTATGCATTGTTGGTTAATCTAATTGACAAAACCTGAATGAAAGATAATATTTTAGTTGCCCTAGTTTCAGTCATGAAGAACTTTTGGTTTTAAAGTGTTTTTTTATTGTGATAGATTTTTTTTTTAATTTTTTTAGGAGATTTATATGTGCAAATATTTCACCTTGAAGAAAAAAAATGAAAAAAATAGTTGTAGATGGGTTAGAGACACTACAGGATATATGAAGAGGGGAATGGTTATTTTTGTAAGCCATTCTTCTTATGTTCAAACCTTACTTGGTGTCTTAATACCGTGTTCCTTTGACAGGCTAAGATAAGCTTTATGTTTGCATTCTGGTCATTGGCAAAGGAATTTTTGAAAATAATCAACAATAAAAGGAATTTTTTCATTTTTGTTATCATTCCTGGTTGATAGTCATTTGTACCTGTAAAAAATGACTTGAGATTTTAATGAGTAGGTAGAAAAAATGATTGTCACAGAAACTGTACTAAAGTAGCTAATCCTAGTTCAGCAAAGAACTAAATACATTGTTAAAAAACTGAACAGATATACGTGTGTCTAAATAATTAATTCAAAGGAAACAGCATAGATAGGTAGTAAGACTGCACATACATTTTGTTACTTAATGTACTAAGATATTGATAGTTAATTCAAAACACCTTTGCATTCCCAAAATATGGCAATATTGTATGTAAGATTCCCTGAAATGGACAAAGTCCGACAATTATTTTAAGACATTTTTATGTTTATACAGTGTAACCCGGATATAAGAGAGATTTTCTCTGGTCCCAAATTAGATCCTGTGTTAATGTATATAAAATAGACCAAACCCGGATATAAGAGACTTCTTCTCTGGTCCCGACAACTCTCTTATATCCGGGTTACACTGATTCTTTTTATAGATACAAACAAATATTTGAGTAAATGATCTGTTTATAATAAACAGTATTAAACAACATTTACCGGCATGAATGTCAGAGGACTAATATTTTCTGTGTAAATTTTCGGATATTCAGGCTGGTAAATGTTGTTTAATAATACTGTTTATTATAAACAGAAACATTTACTCAAATATTTGTATCTATAAAAAAGAATGTATAAACATAAAAAATGTCTAAAAATATATATATATATATATATATATATATATATATATATATATATATATATCAAAAATTATAACATAAACATGTTATAAAATCACTACAAAAATAGCCATTTTGTTTCAACACTTCTGGTGTCTTGTCAAGTAATAGTGTTGAATTTTAAAGTATATATATATACATGTGTGTGTATATATATTGATGTAATAGGAAAGAAAAGTTAATGATCCAAAGTTCTTTAGATTTATGTTTTTAATTTTAAGAATCGGTGCTTGATACAGAAGTAGAGCTTAAAATTATAAACATCACTTGAGAATGAAACTGTACTTTAAATTTTAAGTTTAATATTGAAATTAAACTTTAGGACTTGAGTCTGATTTGAAACAGTAATTTCTGTGTTGCGATGAATCATATTTAAAAAAAAAATAATTATATTATGCACACACACACACACACACACACACATACATACACATATATATATATATATATATATAGTGTAACCCGGATATAAGAGAGTTGTCGGGACCGGAGAAGAAGTCTCTTATATTCGGGTTTCAATATTGTTATGAGGCTCATTTTGTCTTACTACTTTATGCTTATACTATTAAATACAAAATGTAACTTAAAATGATGACTTAAATTTGTAGCTACTAGATGCCCTTTTTACCGTACGAAAAGCTCCCATTTACCAAACCCTTTA